GCCTGGACCCTTCTTCAGAAATTGTTATCTCAAACTACGATAAAATTTGGCATGGCACCAGCAGGTTGCACTATTCTGTTGCAAAGCAAATCAAGTCAATGATTTTTCCTGCACCTCCCATGCTAAGCTTTGGCATCAGAACAAAAAGTTAAAAAGGTAGTGCAATCACTGATAGTGAAGGACCGTTGGAGGGTTTCAGAAGGGCAGAAAGTGAACAAACAGGATTTATTGCATCACCTCAATTAACAATGCAAACTACAGCAAACAGGCAATGATACTAATATACTAGATGCATCAGCCTTTTAAACCTGCAAATATACTTCTGTTACTGAGCTGACCAAGTTGGAAACAACTATACTAAACATAAATAAGGGTAATTACAAGGAATGAGGGCAGAGTTGGCTGGAGTGTACTGGGAAAGAAGTTTAACAGAAATGACAATTGAAGATCAATGGCAGAGGTTTAAGAAAATAGTTCATGGTTCGTAGCAAATAATTTTGTGGGGGGGAAGAAGGATTCTAGGAACGGGAAAAAACAATCATGATTAACCCAGAATAGCATCAAATTGAAAGAAAAAAAAACACAGCATAGCAAAGAATAATGGTAAACTAGAGGATTGGGAAAGTTTTTAAAGTCCAACCAAAGATAACCAAAAAAAGGGGAGAAAATACATTATAAGGTTAAACTAAAAAGTGCACAGAAATATGCACAGAGATTCTTTAAATATTTCAAAAGGAAGAGAGAGGCCAAAGTTAACATAGACCCCTCAGAGAATGAAGGTCAGGAGATAATAATGGGGAATCAGGAAATGGCAGAGGAATTTAATAAATACATTGCATCAGTCTTCATGGTAAAGGATGCTAATAGTATCCAAAAATATTAAATAATCAAGGGCAAAAAGCGGGTTGGGGGAAATAAATATATTAACTTCCATGAAAGAAAAGGTACTAAGGAAAATAATGGGCTAAAGGCTGTTGGGTTCCCTGGATCTGATGGGTTGTATCCCAAGATATTAAAGAAAGTAGCTACTCAATGTGGACATATTGGCAGTAATGTTTCAAGAACCCTGGAAAGTGCTAGAGGATTGGAAAACAACCAACATAAACGTTTCTTCAAAAAGGAAGGGGGAAAAAAAAAAACACAGGTAACTACGGGCCAGTTAGCATAATGTCTGACACTGGGAAAATATTTTTAGACTAACATTTTCCCAATCAACATGGTCAGAGATGCTGTGACACAGCTCCAGAGCAGGTGGGATGTGAATCCAGACCTCCTGGTCCAGAGGTAAGGAAACTATTGCTGCACCACAAGCTCCCTAAATATTTGCAAATAATGTTCCAGTCTGTACTAAAAGATTTAATAGTAGTACAGTTAGAAATAGATGATATGATCAAGGAGAGTCAACATGGATTAATGAAGGGAAAATCATACCTGACAAATTTATTAAATTTTTGATGAGTTAATAAATACACAGATAAATAAATAGATTAAAGTAGAGGCAATATATATGGACTACAAAAGGCACTTGATAAGATACCATACAAGGCGGCTTAACATGATAACAGCCCATAGTGTTGGGGTAGTATATTAGCAGAGATAGAGGACTGGCTAGCTAATAGAAGACAGTAAGTTGGGAAAAAGGGGTCATTTTCAGGATAGCAACTTGTGACTTGTGGAGTGCCACAAGGATAGTATATATTTAATGACATGAAGGAGAAAATGAATATATTCTTGCCAAGTTTGTGAATGACAAAAATGGGTGGAAGGCATGTGGTAAGGATGACACAGTCTCCAGAGAGATATAGACAGAGTAAGTGAGTGGGCAAAACTTTGCAGATGGAAAAGTATGTGGGAAAATGTGAGAACATGCACTTTGGCAGGAAGAAGAGAACAGCTGAACATTATTTAAATGGAGAGACTGCCGAGGCTGCAATAAAGAGGCATTGGGAGTACTTGTGCATGAATCACAAATAAAACTAACATTCAGGATCAGCAGGTAATGGGGAAGGCAAATGGACTTTTGGTCTTTATTTCAAACAGGAATGGAGTATAAAAATAGGGAAGTCTTGCTAATACCATACAAGATATTAGTCAGATCACACCTAGAAAGCAGTGAACAAAATGGACTTGGGGGTTGGGGTGGTGACAGCAATCCTCTGAAGTTGAAGATCAGGCCAAGGATTGGAGATTAACAGGAGGCCCATCCACGAGAGAAGGACAGAGCATTGTTTCAGAGAGCCTGAAAGGCCACAGGCTAGCTTATTCCCACCTGCTTCCAGAATGAATGAGCTGTGTACAGACTTTGTTTGATTGTTTTCATACCTAAGTTGCTCATCTAGCAGGAAGTCCCCTGCTTATTGCAAAGTATATGTCTAACATGCTGGTTTGCCATTTTTCACTTTTTTCACTTGCAGATTAAATGTTAAATTATCCATGCTTATGTTCAAATGATGCTTATGTTCAAATGCTGAACCAAAGTTAAAGTACTATACTGCCTTACACCATCATTAGGGATAAAAGGCAACATTCATGCTGCATGGTACTGAAGTTACATAGTTCTGAAAGGATTCATGACAACGTGATATGTGAGTCATCTACGATCTGATGCCAAATGAGAGCCACCAGGTTGACACAAATCTTAAGAAAACTTCCTTTTCTTCCTTACTTCATCTCTATCCCTTTAATGTTTCAGAGTGCACAGAGATTGTAAGTTTGGCTTAATATACTTGCTCATCCTCTATGACAGCACTTAATCTACGAGAGACAGTGTCTTGAATGCCATTTCACTCCATGAAAAGCTTCTACATAGGAACTATGTGAAAACATCACTGATTTCATTCTCTGACCCATTTGGTGGATGTATGTGCTGAAGAATGTGTGGCAGGTCAACACCTGGCATATTCTCTGGACATTACCTTTAGGTTCGATGTCCTTCACATTACAGTGCAATGCCATAGCTGAAGTTCTCAAAATTAAGGTTCAGGGGTCCCTGACATACAAGGCTATCTGCAGCCAAAGACTCGTTACTTTAGAGAGATGAGCAATGATTGGCAATTGCAACATCTCACATCTTTAGGTTGTATGAAGATTTGGCTCACCTCTCATGGGTGTGACATGAAAAGGTCTTATAGTGAAAATAATACTACAGTAAACATTGTGATAGGACAAGTGAGGTCTACTCAGCAACATGAATATTTCAGAGCCATCGAGAGGGAAAAGAATAGAACAAAGAATTACATTTATATAGCACCTTTCAGCACCTCACAGGGCTTCTCCAGGCCCTTAAAGGAATGAAATACTTTTAAAGTCAGAGGTGTCATGTTGGAAGCATGGCAGCCAATTTGCACAGAGCAAGCACCCTCATGCATCCTGAACAGATACAGGCACAGAAAATGCTGGAGAAACCCAGTTGGTCTGGCAGAGTCCATGGAGAGAGAAACAGAATTCATACTTTGGGTTGGAGATTTCATGACCAGATAATCTGTTTCTCCTCTGTGAAATTAGTTGGAGAGTAAACATATTGGCTTTTTTTATGCTCCCTCATGTATGTGGGCATTGCTGGTTGAACAGCATCTACTGCCTGTCCCTGGTTGCCCTTCAGAAGGTGGTGGTGAGCTGCCTTCTTGAACTGCTGAGGTCCCTGTACTGTAGGTAGACCCACAGTGCCATTAGGAGGGAATGACAGGATTTTGACCCAGCAACAGTGAAGGAATGGTGATATAGTTCCAAGTCAGGATGGCCAGTGACTTGGAGGGGAACTAGTAAATGGTGGTGTACTCATGTATCTGCTGCCCTTGTTCCTCTAGACAGAAGTGCTTGTAGATTTGGAAAGTGCTATCTAAGGATCTTTGGTGAATGAGCGACATACATGTCCCCGCAAGAAGCTTCTTCTCAGGACACTGCAAAGGAGCCTGGTCCCATCTTACTGCCTGTGAATTCCAAAATCTGCAAGAGTACAAGCTGAAGAAGATGAGGCAAGCACTCTAGGCCAGAAGGCTTGGAGACAACTGCCAAAGTATTCCAAGTCAGTGGGGCCAAGCACAAAACAGGCTTCCACCACCCCTGCTGTGGAAACCAGACTTTCACCATGTAGTGAGTGGGAGAGGCAGGAGACAAATTAGTGAGGGCATCCCATCATTGAAATTTCACTTACAGTGATAGAGTCATACAGCACAGAAACAAGCCTTTCAGTCCAATGCATTGACGGCGACTGAGTTTCTCAAAATAAACTAGTCCCATCTGCCTGCATTTGGCCCATATCCCGCTAAACCTTTTCTATTCATGTACCTGTCTAATGTCTTCTAAATGTTGTAATTGTACCTGTATCTACCACTTTCTCTGGCAGTTCATTCCACATACAAACCACCCTCTATGTGATAAAGTTGTCTCTCAGGTCCCTTTTAAATCTTTGTCCTCTCACCTTAAAATTAATTTTTTTTTTTCTGAAAAGGGTCTAGGCCCGAAACGTCAGCCTTCCTGCTCCTCTGATGCTGCTTGGCCTGCTGTGTTCATCCAGCTCTACACCTTGATTTCTCAGATTCTCCAGCATCTGCAGTTCCTACTATCTCTTAAAATTATACCCACTAGTTTTATCAAAGGAGTCTCGCAGTCTTAGGATAGAGTGCATTTAAACAGATCAGAATTTTAACATCTGAGCTTTGCTCTCGCCTTTTCATCAACCAAGATCATTTCAAACCTACATCGCAACGAAAGCATGGCTGCAAATCCAAAAGCATCACTAGTTCTGCAGAAGACTCATATCGGACTCAAAAAAATATTTCGATTCTCTCCTCACAGACGCTGCCGAACTGCTAAGTTTCTCCAGCCTTTTTCACATCACCCTGTTGGGTTAATATCATTCAGTTTGAAATACACTGTCTACATTTTCTTGCAAATCTTTTCAAAGACGAAACACAAGAGCAATGTTTCAACGAAGCCCAACTGTGTTAACAAAAATCCTGCTGCTAAGCAATACATATTTAAAACAAAACACATCTTACGCCTGCGAGCAACTGTTTCGAAGATTATGACCAGGAAGACGGTTCCAAAGAGGACCAAACAGCAATCTCTCATGGTGACAAAGGATTAGCAGTTCCACCAGACTCCGAGTTGAGAGACTGATTTGCTCACTGCAGAGACTAACTGTTGTATTCCTCATACAAACCCATCCTAAACCCCTCGCCAAAGTCTCGTGAGCTCGTCATGTGTATTGTAATAAAAGCCACCTATTAAAAACGAAGATCTACTCCCGCCCAGATCTTATGGCTCTGAGTCATCCCCTGGTGATCGGCATCAATCAGCTTATGATTTTAGGAGGGGGAAAAAAAAGTCTGGTGTTAGCACAGCTACAGCAGAGAATAAAGCAGAAAGTGGGATCTGCTGTTTTGCACCAGGACTGAGCAGCACTAGGTATTTCGCAAACCCCGAGGCATTTGTAAATGGGAATACGTGTAGGCATTATTCAGAGATTTGTTTCTAACTGTAGGTGGGAAAACAGGAGGATGAAAGGAAACGCAATACAAGTTTTCTGGAACTGATTTTGGACTGGAGCATTTGGCATCACGAGAAAAATAAGTTGAATGTGGCAACATATAGTTCATAAATAATCAAAGGAATGATTTATGAGCGGGATTACTTAAAACACTTTATCTAACTTCAACTTTGGAGAAACGGCTTGTCCGTTTGATTCATTTCACAATTGCATTGCAATTAAAGTTTGGGTTTGGAACCCCTACATTTCAATATACAGAATGCTACGAAACACTAGCTACTGTGTCAAATCCCCTGTACGTGGTCGTGAAAAGGCATGTTTGTAATAGGTGATATTATCGTTCAGGGTTTGGGAAGATTCCACCCGATGGACCAAGTTCCTGATTTTCAGAAAACTGCAAAAGCAAGTTCCTGTGCTTTTTCCAGATACTACATTGTTAACGAATGTATGTGTGGTGCATATGTCCCTTGAGCCTACTTTTTCTTTTGGTGGCATAGGATGTTGTTAAGTGCCCATACATGTCGTGAACTCAGCGTTTAATTTTTTAATCCCTAAATCAAAGGACAATCATTTAAAAATCTATTATAACCCTTATCATAGCTGAATTCCATACGGTGTGCCATGTTTCCTTACCTTTCAAACTATTTATAAAATGTTTCATTGGTGTGAAGCATTCGAAACCCTCAGGATCGTAAAAACAATATATAAATGCAATGTCTCTCTTTTCTATCTCTCTCTTTCTCTCATCAATGCATGTTCTGTTCCACAGTAAAAGAACAAGTAGAGTAGGATTTGAACTAAAAGGCAGCAGTGGCACCACTGATCCAAACTGCGGTTAAGAAAATACAGATAGCTGGACCAAACGCAGGCACTGAAATGCTTCAAAGGAAATAATTTCTCGCTCTCTTAAAGTCTCTGTGTCTTTCTATTATCTGTTCCAATTAAGACCATAAGACCATAAGACATAGGAGCTGAAAGTAGGCCATTCGGCCCATCGAGTCTGCTCCGCCATTCAATCATGGCTGATAAATTCCTCAATCCCATTCTCCCCGTAACCCTTGATAATCAAGAACCTTTCTCTAACCAATCACCCTCCACTCACCATCACTGACCTGATTGTCAGAATGTCTATTCCGTTTAAATCTCACACAGTGAAATTGGAAATGTATTTATAAGAAAAAGAAATTTGATCATAAATAAAATGTATTGGTAATCATCCTCATATGTTTAGTAATAGAGATCAGTTTCTATTAAATGCAAAGGTATTAAACTCTGACCATTATTGAACAATTAATCTATAAAGCTTAACCTATGCACCACAGAGTAATATATTCTGACAGATATTAATATTCCCTCTGCAAATCTGTTTCCTATTCTTAACTGCAGAAAGTAGAATTTGATACATTTTCCCATGACTGTAACGTTAAAGAAAAAGCATTTTGTCACATGTTTCTTGTCTATGCTTTCTCTTTTATGGTTTTATTATAATCTGGTATCCAAAATTAGTCTTTGTCTTCTTTTATATATACATTCATATATTGACTAACATTTGTAAAACAAAACTTGACAAAAATATTTCATAGCCTTTCAGCCTCCACAACCAAAATTTCTTTTTTATTCCTAGCAGTTCTTCTCTTGGTAACTATTCTTATGAATTTTTTTTTGAATATTATAATAGCCTTACTATTTTCTTTTACAGTATTTGAGATCTTTTTTCTTATTATTTCCTTTCAGCTGTTCTTACGTTTCTCTACAAGTTCTAAACTCCCTATAATTTTCTTCCACTTTTTTCTAATCATGTATTACTCTCAGAGTAATTTAAACTTAGTTTGAATCTCTCTTCGCCTCTGGAAATCTACTCATTGATGCATCCATTTTTCAACTTGCAGCACAATGTGTATTTTGTGCTCTATCTGTCTCCTTTGAAAACCCAATCTCTGAATCATGTAATCCCGTCTGGGGATTATTAAATAGTTGCACTTTAACAATCATTGTGGGTTAAAATGAAGAAGCGCATGATTGAATACCAGCTAAAGTTTCAACAAGGGAAAGTTGTGTTTCTTTCAGTTTGGAAAAAAAAATTGGGAATGATCAAATAACTTTGGAATGTGCACAGCCATGCTTTACTGCATTCTGTATTTTGTTTTTCTAGATTAAAGTTCATTTGATTATCTGATATTTTAAAATATGTGTAAGTAGTCGCTTGGTGGAATCCTCATGAAAGAATAATCACTTTCAGCTGACCAATAATACTATTTGGGTTGCTGCTTTATTAAATTAATTCTTCAACACTGGAGGGTGCATTAACACTTTCAAATCCAATCACCAGAACAGCCGACTACCAAAGGATCAAGGGAGCAGCCAAAAGGTCTATTTCCCTGGTCCAATTGCTTGAAACCATTCATTTGGGAAATATTGAGAAGCAAAGATTTCACAAACCTTCTTATTAGGAATCTATAAAAATGGAAATATTTGGTGCAATTTTCAAATGAATTGAAAATTGCACAAAAACTTTAGGGATAACTCTGGGAAACACTGGTTGAAAAATATTCCTCCACAAAAGGTCAATGTGTAGCTGTGCAAGCTGTGCAGCTAATAATCAAGTCAAATATGTGCGATGGCCTATTTATAGAAATTCATGGGGCACAAGTCTGAATTTATAGCGCTGCTTCTAGCAGTGCTACAGGCTTACTGTGTTTCCCCAGGGTCAGGTAGGAGCAAGCAACTACCTGTTGAGTCAGCATTGTGTTTTACAAAGTTTTTTTTAAATTCATTCATGAGATGTAACTGTCACTGACTTGACCAGCATTTCATACCTATTGAGAAGGTGCTGGTGAGCTGGCTTTATTGAACTGCTGCACTCCAATTCCTTTTCTGGGACCTTTAAGCAGTGAATACAAGAGAGTGGCTTGCTAGGCTATTTCAGAGGGCAGTTAAGAGTCATTTGCATTGCTATGGGTCTGGTGTCTCATGTAGGGCAGATCAAGTAGGGACAGCAGTTTTCCTTTCCAATGAGGCATTAGTGAACCAGATAGGTTTTTATGATAATCAATTCTTGCATTGTCCAAATTTGTAACCTTGACACCATATCAGTCTGTTTGATTGTGCGATATCAAGGTAGGACCATTTCACTATTTTTGGGAACATGCAGGAAGTGCACCTGAGTGTGCCATAGGGAGGTCATGGCATAATGGTATTGTCATTAGGTCAGTAAACCAGAGAGCCAGGCAATGTTCTGAGGATCTGGGCTTGATCTGACCACAGCAGAAAGTGGAATTTTAATTCTATAAAAATTTTGAATTTACAAGTCTAATGATAACCATGCCTAAGAATAGGCAATAAACGTTGGCCCAGTCACTGACAATCACATCTTATGAATGAATAAAACAAATTGTAAAACACCACGCTGACAAAGCAGGTAGTTGCATGCTCCTACCAATTCAAGTGTTGTCTGATCTTGAGTGGAGAAGTTTGAAATAGTAGGGTTGATCCAGCATTAGTGTTGTTTAATGGGCAAAGCACTCTGAATTTTTTTTGATTTGAAAAGTGTCCAAAATACCCTGTGGTGTTTTGGAAGCAGGTTACTGCATTTGACAGGCAGTCAAAGGCTGAAACATGTGTGAGGTTTGCAATTGTATGGCCTCTGGCTCTGCACCTTGACAGCCAAATAGAACAGAGGCTGTGGAGAGGGAAACATCCACACTATGCTATCTTCCAAGTTGGATCTGAAGTATATTCTCATTGACAACAGTAGTAAGCTATTCTAACTAAGCCAGTTTGTGCTCTCCACATCTGCTGCAGTGCTTCCCAAACGTGTTTCTGCCCTAACTCCATTTCACACTTGATAGGATTGCAGAATTCACATTTAAAGAGGGGGCAGGGTGAAGAGTTGTCAATCAGGTTGGGTGCTCAAGCAAGGAAACAGACACAGAGGTCACCTACTGTTCTGAAGGCTTCGCCGGTGTTGGCCATCAGACCTCAGTGCCCATTGCGTTAGAGCACACTCACAAACAAAGTATTGTGCATATTTAAAGAGGCCTTGCAGCCAAATACAAGTCTGTCAAATCTGAGTGTCTACACTACAGCTGCTTTGGAGCTCATGATCTTAGTGGTGTCATGACTCACAGCTTGGGAACCCCAATCAATTGTCCATGCCTATTCAAAACTAACCTACGCATTGTGCTAACAAGGTGTAGAGCTGGATGAACACAGCAGGCCAAGCAGCATCAGAGGAGCAGGAAGTCTGACGTTTCAGGCCTAGACCCTTCTTC